GGTGGGAAGTGTTGCCAGCTTCATTTAGGGGCAGAAAAGCTGTCAAGGGCTGGATTAGTCAAACTGACACTAATTGCATTGGTTTCTATTGTTTAGTGCATTTTAAATTTCATAGCCTCGTTTGGTTCTGTGTTTTTTTCCTCCCTGTGCCTGAAGATTGTTTCAAGATCTGTGAATTTTATTATGCACTGTTAATTCTGTGTGATGGCTTTTCTGGATTCCTGACATTCCTGTTCCAAGCCTGTGCCTGCACACATATGGGAAGGCTGAGAAAAAATGCTCTCTCTTACACAGACAGAAAACATTATCAAAACACGAAGCTGATCCATTTTCAGCCTCTGACAGCAAAAACACCCCTCACAGTTGCATTGTTTCCCCCAGTTCTTTCTAGCAGAGTTATTCTCTTGTCCCACTGCCTGTTTTGCTCTGCTGGACAGGCAGAATAAAGCTTCACCTAGGTTCCTAGGACCTTTTTTCTTATCCCTGGCACCAGTATAATCAAATATGAAGTAGATTCTGTGGCTTCATCAAGAGTCTTACAGGTGCTTTTTGTCCTTCTCCTGTGTAAGAATCAGACAGTAACCCCAAAGTACTTAAAGAAAAACAGAAGCGACAGTAAACCTTTTCATTTTGCTCCTTCTCTTCATTGAAACTCAAATTCTGTGTCTTGGTGAAGCATCCCTTGGATGGGGCATAATGCCAAGTCTCAAAAAGGGTAAGAAGCAGAGAAAATCTCATTCTGTGGCAGGAAGGAGCTGGATTTTACCTACCAAATTTACTTCTCATGAAGCTTTCTGAAAACACTATAAACTGGAGTGTCAGTCCACACTGGTGGCAAGTTAGATCCCTGGGAATTTCCTAGAATTTCTGCAACAAGTTCAGCAATTAAGATTATTTGGCTCAGCTGCAGGGAAATATTTTACTTCAAGAATTCCAGATTATCATTTCAGTTGTGGTGTTCTAGTACTGAATCCCTCAAGACTGCTGTTTACCAAAACAACCTCCTGTTATGGTCTGAGACAAAAGCACATGTGGAGAGACCTAACTCAGAGACAGGTGGGAACAGGACCCTACAAGGGCCTGTCTTTGTCTGGTGGCTTCTCCAAGGGAGATTTCTGGCTGCCCCCGTGGGTGTGCAAAGGGAGATGACAAAGCACAAGAAGTTATCATAGCTAGGTGGAATAGAAACACTGGTCTCCAGCAGGAAAGTACTTTGTTTTCTTACCCTGCCCACCTCTGGTACATGGAAATTGTATGAAACAAAATTTTATAATGTGAAAAATGGAAAATTTACCTGGCAGGGGAAGGAGCAGCCTGTTTCCAAACACTGGAAAAAGAAGCATCCTTTTCTACAGCACCTGAGTGCTACCCAGCTGGTTTTAGGATGCATTCTGTGTTGCAGCACAAATATTCTACAGTAAAGTCTGTTTGTCTGGCTGGTTTTTCCTAGTACTGAGGACACATTTGTAGTCCCATTGTGTGCCTGGTGAAGTGTGCTGGGACAGGGACCATCCTGATGTTCATATACCAACACTGGCAGCTTTCAAACATTTCAGGAGAAGGATCAGATCAGGGGAAAAAGCCTGCAGAGTAATAATGGACTCTTCTGCCCAAAGAGAGTTATTGTTTCTGGCAGAGAGCTGCTTAGAAAACTCCCCTGAGAGCTTCTGAAGTTCTCACCTGAACTTTGCTCCTAAGGAAGCTTTAGCAGCCATCACCCCAGAGCAGTGAATTTTCCTTTTTGGGCTCAGTCTGGCAGTGAGGGAAACCTCTTGGAAACTGAATCTGGGTCTGGAGATGCTGGGTTTAACACAGGGAGCAAGGGTTGGTTCTTGTGTTTTATTTTCTGCTCTCCAAGCTGTTTAATGGCATCATGGTCGAGTTTTCAAGCTTTACTAAAGGCAGTAACTCACACAGAGACCTGTGGCAGCACCGTGTGATTTGGCTGCTCTCAACAGAGGAAGATTTCAGTTTCCATATTCTTTTTCACTTCAGTTTAGCACCTTGTCTGAAATCTTTCTTTTGAGCACGAGCTTTGCCTGAGGAGGTGTGTGACACTGTAGCAGGATCCATACCCTACCCGGAGTCATTCGGGAATGGCACCTGAAGGAAGTGGCACATTAAAAAAAACCACTTTTTTTGGAGGTATTTGAGATTAAATCCCTTGTTCACGTGGCTACAGGTTTGTTCTTTGTTGCTAGCACCCATCTGCTCAGAGCTCCTTGTCTGTCCTAGTTTTCTCTCCTGTCAGCCAAACACAGCTCTCCTGATTACTTCAAAATGAACAATTTCCAACACCTTTCCCTTGACGACAATTGCTTTAAAAGCCAGTAGAACATCTTCACTCACTGAGGCACCATTGCAATCAGTCTGCAATGTCAAACATGTTCTATTCAGCCTTTATTAGAAGCTGGAGCTTTGGTGGCACTCAGCTGCCATGGCTGCAGTTTAGAACTATTGGGTATTTGGGGTTTTAAACGTCACTCACTGCGTAATGGCTCCATCAGCACAAAGCCTTTGTGTCACAAACTGACACAAGTGGGTTCCTGTACCACCTTTGCTGACTAAAATCACAAAGTTGACCTAATTTTTTTTCCCCTCCAGAAAATTATTCAGAACTTTGTTTACCTATTTAGCACCCGCTGCATGGCGATGTCGGTGTGCAGAGCTGCAGATACAAAGGGTGAGTCTTCACTGAAGGCTTTTTCTCTCTGAGGCTGGAAATGAGTCCTATGGACACTGACTCGGGTGAGGGGAGCCCTCAGAGTGATCCTGAAGGGGAGGAGAGGAAGGTCCCTCCTTTTGTAGCCACATCTCTGCAGGTCCTGCACACTTTGGTGGGCACTCCTCTTTTGGTATCTCACTTTGCTCTGCCTTGGCTCTGCCTGTCGTCTTCAAATCTTCAGCGGCTGCGGCTTTCACTCTGTTTCTGCCAGCTTTATTTTCTCAACAAAAATGTTAGTTTTTAGAATTCTAGGGAGTTTTTTAAGGTTCATTTGTGTGGGTGTTGATAGCAGTCTACCTAGAGAGACCTCAAGCGCTTTCCTGGGTAAATTCCCAGAATAGACATCGTCCCTTCGGACTTGGTGATGACAGCATATCCCCAGGTAATAATTATTAGTGCTGTGAGCAACTGACTCTGATTTATAAGCCCAAATGTCTGGAGCAGCTGCATGACCCAGTGGTGGCTTAGCTCTTGGGAATGCTTTGCCTCAGCCCAGCAGCTCGTGGTTTTTGCAGGTGACATCACGGCCAGGGATGGTGCTGAGGGCACTTGGTCTGTTCAGGCTGTAGAAGGGGAGGCTGAGGGGAGACCTCACTGACCTTCCTCATGGGGAGAAGAGGAGGGGCAGGCACTGATCTCTGCTCTGTGGTGACAGTGACAAGACCCCAGAGAATGGCCTGAAGCTGTGTCAGGAGAGGTTTAGGTTGGATATCAGGAAAAGGTTCTTTCCCCAGAGGGTGGCTGGGCACTGAACAGGCTCCCCAGGGCTGTGGTCACAGCACCAGCCTGACAGAGCTCAGGGGGTGTTTGAACAACACTCTCAGACACAGGGATTCTTGGGGCTGTGCAGGGCCAGGAGTTGGTCTCAATTTTTGTGGATCCCTCCCAACCCAGCACTTTCTGTAGCTTTTTGAAACACCTCCAAAGACCTTCAGTACACTGCTCAGTTTATTGCTCATGTTACAACTGGTATCCTGCCATATTCAAATCAGATTTCTGAGTCTGTTGGAAGTGGTTTATGAATGACTAATTTTTTACCTGCCTGGGTAAACTTATCACTAAAGTGTAAAGGGATAAATCAAACCTCCAAGGAGGCATGTTAAGGAGGAAGATTTTCACAGTGGGGGTGGTGAAAGGCTGCAACAGGTTGCTCAGAGAAGTGAAAAATCCCTGGAAAAGTTCAAGGACAGATTGGCTGGGGCTAGGAGCAACGTGATTGAGTTGAAGATGTCCTTGCTTGCTGCGGGGGGTTTTTTTTAAAGTCCCTCCAAATAAACCATTCTATGTTTCTGTGTCTCCATCTTTTTCTCTCTCCTTGCAGCACAGCCCTGTACAACTCCTGTTCTCCCCTGCTGAGCCCTGAGCACAGTTTCTTGCTGCTGGAGCCTCAGGGTCCCCATTTTATTCCCAACACAGCTCTTAGAGGCTCTTTACTGGGCTCTTCACTGAGCTCTCACTCAGCTGAAGCAGGGAAGCTTCGAGCTGCTGTGCTGAGCATTAAAGACTCCCAGGCGAAGGCAACCACACAACTCCAGGAGCTTCTCCTGTGTCCGGCGAGACACAGCAGCTCCATTTCAGGTTTAGGCCAGGATTGGGAGAGCCTGTGTGTTGCTTTTAGTGTCACAGAGACATTTCCTGAGCATGACCCATGGGACCTGCTTGTGGTGAGCACCAGAGCCAGGGAGGTGCAGAGAGCAGGAGGTGTTTGAGTCAGACCAGCTCCGTGGTCAACTATCAAAGGTACCTTCCCTTCAAGGGGGGGAAAAGAAGCTCAAACCCACAGCTAAATCTATATAAAGGCAAACTCTGAATATTTCCAGCATTCAGAAGGATAGGTGGCCCGTGTGATGCCAGCTAACAAATTCAAAGCAGTCACTTGCATATGTGAAGTGTAACTAACACAAAAAGCTGAGTGCCGTGCTCCTTTTGGAAGCACTGGTGCCTGCTCCCTCATCAGCAGGTTGCTGACATGCCAAATTTCCTGGGAAACGGAGAAATGCACAGCTTTAAAATAAAGACAGCAAAAAAAGAAAAAGAAAAGCCCTCACAAGTTGTGTCGTACTTCTTTTATTACAGTGAAAACTGTGTGGTGCTAGCCTACTGAGAAAATAAAAGCTACCAGTAACTTTTCATCAGAAAGGAGTCAATCCCAGATAAAAAAGCAGCCTAGAAATCATGGCTGTTGCAAAATATAAAGTCTGAGTTGGGACCTCTGTCTGTCATTCTGTTGGAGTAGATCCAAAGATTGCAAAGTTCTCGATGGAAGTTTCTCCTTTTAACAAGCTGGGGAGGTAAAGAGGAGAAGCAGATTAAGAGACATGTTTTCTCCATAAATCACACAAGATGCTAGGAAGTGTTTTGCCTCAATGTAGGACACCCAAAATGCAATTTTTTAGCCATCTTGAGCAACCCCCATATGTAGATGTGTTTCCCAGTTATGATCCAGATCAGTAAAACTGAATTATGGTGAATTGTATGTAGTGCAGAACACAGTGTGGCTGAGGCTATTGGTTATTAAATATGCTGAAAGGTCAATCCTAACTAAAACAAAGTTGGCTGGGGATCAGAAATTTCTGTAAGTTTCATTCCACATTTTCAAAGCAAAGCCTTTTATCTCTCATGCTGATAAGGTGGATGTGAGCTGGGTGGCTGCACCTCTACTCTGGGACTAGCTGGGGTCTTGAGCTCACACCTGAGCCCAGACTGGCACACTGCTCACATATCCCAGGCTCAGATGCATCAGCAACACCCCACTCTCTGTACAAGAAGTTGATTTTTTAGGGTTTAGCCACCCTTATTTGCTCCCACCCTCTGGCTGGCACAGCTCACCAAGCCTGGGACACTGCCAGGAGCAGTGAAGCACTCGGAGGGACACAGGGGACATCTCCTGTGGGACATTACCTTCCTCCACGACGCGGTGGTAGAAGCACCAGGGGACACCAGCGGGGTGTGCCCTGAAGCAGCAGCCCTTCCTCGTGCATTCCCTGGGCTTGATGCCAGGGTGGCCACAGTTTATCCTGGTGTAGGGATCGTTGGGACACACTTTCCTCACTGTGTGGAGCAAAAATAACGAGAGAAGGAAGGACAACGTGTTACTTCGCGTTCCCTCTGCCTGCTGATGTAATTCACAAATCAAAGGTGAGGTCACTGGGCTGATGTGATGGCCACGATGACCTTCTCTGAACCAATTTCTGCCAGCAGATTTGCCCAAATCCTCACCCAGCCTCCCAGGCAAAACTAAATTCCAAAGGGTGATGAATTACTGCTGCGCCCCAGGGACAAGAGGAGGCAAAATTCACCCCTGGAAGTGTCTGGCAGCAGCCCATCTTTACCTTTCCTAAATCCAGCAATGGGGTGAAAAGTCCTGTGTCTCCTGTAGTGGTTACACACACCCTGCCCTCAGACCATGACCTGACCCCAAGCTAACCCCAGAGCAGCCTGGCTACCACAGGGAGAGGGTGACCCAGCCCTCTCTGCATGCCAGCTTAAGTTACAGAAGGGAAATAAGTCTTTCAGGAGGAAATCACAGCTCTTCCAGGCACTTAAAACTAAAATGCCAAGTAAAGAGATTATAGGACCCAGCTTGAATACTTCAGTTTTCCTCTCATAGAGCAGTTCTGCTCAGAAAAGCAATTCTATGAAAATGGCACCCTAAATTGCTGCTGCTCATTTTTCAAGGTTTACAAGAATTGCAAGCAGTGCTCAAAAGCAAAACTATTTTTTCCTACTGTACTTCTGATCCCTGTTGACTATTCTCAATTTATTACAGGTTCTTCTGTTGGGTAACATTGGCTTTGCACCCCTCATTTCCTTTCATGTCACCTGTGCAACTGCTGAGACTGCCCTGAAGTTCTCCTAAGAAGGAGAACTTCAGCAAATGTCAGCCCAGCAAATGTAGCTTACATTGAGTTAATTAATGCAGCTAATTACACTCCATTACTTAACACAGTTATGTAAAATATACAGTTAATCCTTGAAAGACTGGGAGAGCAGCTGTTATCCTCTCTGAGAAAGCAATAGTAAAAAATAGAAGCAGGATGCTGACAGATGTCAAACAAGCAAACCCACTTAAATAAGTGCTGAGCATCCCTTGCTCTGCCCATGGACAAGAACACAAATGACACAGAAATGTCTCTAAGTAATCAGCACAGGTTGTTTGATAACTAGAAGCCTGAAGGAAGAGGAAATACATTGTGTGAAGAGGATGAAGCAGAAGTCTGATGGGTAAGCAAGGCTTGATTTTGCGTTTTTCTGCCACTGGTCTCCTAACAGAGATTTGTGCCCATTTTTCTGGGCTAAGGAGAAAAGCAGAACTGCTCCCTGGCTGCACACATTTCTGGATAATTAAACACGAGGTACATCAGTGTTTCTGGCAAAGATATTACCTTTCTTTGGTTTAGGATTGTAGCACCAGGGGACGCTGGGGACTGAAGCGTTGAAGCAGCACCCAATTTTCCTGCATTCTGCTGCTGAGATCCCTGGGTAGCCACAGTTTGTCCTCTCCCTGGGAACCACTTTACACTGGCATTTTGCTGTTCAGGACAGAAGGAGCAAGTTACAGTTTGCACACTTGTTATGGAGGGGTGTTTACCAAATGCTCACTGGGAACAATGCTCTTTCCCTAGATGCTTTCCATCTTTTCAGTTCCCCGCTAAGACCACAGCCTGGGTGGTTTAAAAGTTGCCTTTAAACCACTACCAATTTTGGTCTTGGCTGTACATCAAACTCTGAGAGTCTGTGGTCTCATTTGCAGCCAAGCCAGCCCAGCCCAGTGGGATTTGTGGGCTTCAAATCGACCACACCAAATGGGAAATCCCAAGAACTTCAAATATTACACTATTAAATGTTTGCTGCTTTGTCCATCTCATGTGAAGAGGAAAAGACTTAAGGGTCCAGTGGATATTCAAACATATACAAAACAAGATACAAAATCTTTGCATTCCTGACAGGTGATTATAAAGGATGATGTGCAAATAGCTGCAGCTATGCTTTTAACATTTAAGTCATTTGCACAGTCAGCCACAACCATGAAATTCTGGAGCTGTCCTCCAGCTGTCATTGAGTTACTCGCTTTCCACTTCTGGAGCTGTCTAAATGACTTGCCTTTTAATGAGGAGGCAGATAGGCTCCTTTAAAACTGTATTCACTTGGCAAAGCAGCATAAACCAAATGTCAGAAGAAAATTTAGACAAAGCTGGCTCCTCTTCCAGCCCTGGTCCTGTTCGAGTGACCTCCTCTGCCTTTACAGCGGGTTCTTGGTTATTCCAACAACACAAGAGTTCAGCTGCAGTCTTTCACGTTTTGCTATTTTTCTCTTTGATAAAAATTAAAAAGTAGGCTCCACTTGGAGAATAAGTAGCAGCACAGAAAGCCATTTGCTGTCTGGCCTGTTAAAGCTGGCAGGTTCTGGCTGCAGCCAGTGGGATGAGGGTCCCACACGTACCTGGAAGGCAACAGTACATGGATGTACTTACTTGGAGGCGCAATTCCCTCTGCCAGGGTGCTGAGGGCTACGATGAGGGTGACAGAGAGTGCACAGAGCACCTTGAGATCCATGGCTCTTGCAAGAGGAGAGGTGCTGCTCTCCCTGGAGGCCGCGGGTTTTATGCGCTCCTCATGTTTGCCCAGCGAGGTCTGATAACATTGTTCCATCTGAAGCTTCACCCAGAAGGTTGGGTTTTCTTTTGTTTGGTTAGGAAGTGTTGCCGTGCATATTGTGATATCCCAGAGATAAATTTCTGGGCTCCTGAGAGTTATTGATCACATATCTATTACGTACCTATAGATATATATCTATTACGTGATCCTATAATCTATCAAATGGATGCTGCTGGGTGCCTTGGATGCCAGAGGCTCTGGCTCTGAGTGCCAGATTTTATTGTGCTGTGATTTCATTGCCTTTGGACTATTTTAGACCTCTGGGAAGTTTTATTTTCCAGTCACTACTGAAAAATATGTACATACCTTTTCTACCCAGTGTCTCTTTTCTGCCTCAATTTTTCCCTGGCCTTAAGGTTTTGGTTATGCTTACTCTGAAACAGGTAAGGGAGCAGGGCTGGAGCTGTGAGACCTCCAAGCTTCAGGAGACCACTGTGCACCTGAAAAAATACATAAACACAGAAAATGGAAGGTGTGACTGAGAAACACTGAGCACATGAGGCAACTGTTGGTTTCCACACAAGGGGATTTAGGAAAAGAAGGCAAGATCAGGGATAAAAACAAACCCCAAAAGCCCAAGTGGTCCAACAGCACAGAGACACAAGAGAAGAAATGAGAGTTTCTGGATGATCTCAGCCTGCCCCACAGGTGCTGTGCTCATCCAGGCATCACTCCAGAGTGTCCCAGTTTTATCTGGGAGTTGCTGCCCTGTGCAAGGTCCTGTTCCAGGGGTGCCACGACAGGGGCTGTCCCCATCCCTCTGCCTGATCCCCAAAACAGAGCAGCACTTCCCAACACATCCAACACCACCTGCATGTGTTTTGCCAAAAACAAACTTCTGAAACACCATGTTTGACCTCATAACTTCCTGACTGCTTTTCTGCTGGTTTCAAAGGTGGTCTCCTAGGCAGCCTTTGGATTGTTTTGGGACAACAAGCCTTGAGACTTGGACTGCTGAAAGCTTTAATCTTCCTTTTGGACCATTTTCTACCATTTATTGAAATGTTTCTTAACTTCTCGCTAATTGTCAACTCTTAAAGACAATCAGAGCAATGCCAGGGAGGGAGAAGTAGCAGTGGGATGGTGGAACCATCTCTGCACGCTCCCCACAGAAGGCACCTGGAGAGCAGGTAGGACAGGCTGCAGCCCCTTGGGTGCTCTGCAGCATCACTTTTCCTATGGGAAAACCACCAGGTAACCCTTCATGTTCATCATCAAAATAAAGAGATTCAATGCACTTTTTTATCTTTCAGAGACCTGTGTCTTCTTGCTTTTGAATAGTACATATTAATTTTTTTTTGGTGCATCTTTCCATTACAAAGCTCAAAGTGAGAACTTTCAGCTTCCACGGTTGTGTTTTGGAGGAAGTTAATTTGTTGAAAAGTATTTCCAACAAAGTGGGAGGAATTTTGTTCTACAAGGGAAAAAAAAAATAGGGTTCTTTTTCCTAAAGGTTATTCAATACCTTGTGGACTCTATTTATATCCATTCCCACTTATAATATGGGTGGCATTTCTCACTGAGAGCCACAATTCATAAATTAGATATTTTGTGTAGACAAAACACAAGACACCAGGCTGCAGGCATGAGAGGGCTGTTCTCCCTCACCCAGCAGCTCCTATCACACTTTTAGAGAAAACATCGGACTCAAGACTTTAAAATCCAGTTTTCCATCCATTTCCATCCATGGTGCCTGTCCAGAGAAGTCCTGGGCAGTTTTTCCAGGGACCTGGGAGATGGGCAGTGAGGTTGGCTGAAGCGCTGCCCGTGGTGATCCCGAGGGGACCGCGCTGCTTTTGGCCCTCCGTGGATTATCAGCCCATCACGTGAGTCAGCTGAAACTGCAGATAACGTTTGTTGCTCCTGCTCCTTTCTGGACATTAATTAAGCTCTTATCTGCTGGCTGTCACCTCTTGGGCCCGATCCCAGCTGCGGGCACAAAGGCAAATCTAGCCCCCAGCTCTCGCTGCGGAAAGAGCGTTTGATTGGCATCTCAAAGCAAACACAGCGCAAGAAATGGGCTGCTTGCTTTCTGCCAGGGGATTACTTAAAGATCTTTAATATGTTTATATAGAAAAGCCTTGAAAATTATCTGGGGTTTCCCTGTAAATGTGTTTCCTTCTGTGAAGCCGGCACCTACCTAAACTTTTAGGTAACTCTATAAAGGATCTCAGGCTCTGAAAGGGCCAGAAGGGGCTTGGAGGGCTCCGTGTCCTCTCCAGGCTCTGTGTTCTCCCTCCCCACCCTCCCCTGGTCCCTTCTAGCTGCCCTGTGGTGCTCTCATTTCCTTTCCAGCGAGGACAGCGTTAAGTTTCACCAAGGGAAATATAGGTTGGATATTAGGAAAAGGTTTTTTACTGAAAATATTGGAAGGGTTTGCCCAGGCAGGTGGTGGAGTCACCATCCCTGGATGTATTTAAATAAAGACTGGATGTGGCACTGGGTGCCATGGTCCAGTTGTGGTGTTAGGGCTGGGTTGGACTCGATGATCTTGAAGTTCTCTTCCAACCTGGTGATTCTGTGATTCTGTGACATGGAGAAATCACCACGTCTGGTACTGGATCTTGCAGTGGATTGGTGGCGGCCTACAACTCTTTATTCTAATTGAGAACTTTTGAAGGATAAGGATAATTTTTTCCTACCTCTTTTCACCTAAAATAACCAGCAAACAATTTTGATTTTCATCCTAAAGGGAGTGTTGTGTCCTGAAGGGAATTTCATTTTGTGGTAACTGTTAGTTTGAATGCTGACATGAAGAAATCTGTCACTGGGCCAACATCATTGCTTAGGAGCCCACAAAGTAAATCCCAAGTTTTAAGTGCTCTCTAAAATAAATCATCATAACAGAGAAAAAAAATCAGTGGCAAAGGAGAGGGGTGTCTGCAATTTTCTCCTTCCAGCTCTGTGAGGCACAGAAAAGTACGAGCTGGCACATGAAATTCCTCAAGCCAGGACAATATCTGTCTGTCCACCAGATAACACTGAGGAGTCAAAAACCAGAGAAAACCCTACATCTTAATTTTGAAGATGGACAGTTCAAAATAACCCCCGAGATCCATGGCTTTGATAAAGATCCCTACCACAGATGTATTAATGCAGTTGTCAAAATCAACTTGAACTTTGTGAGATCAAACTCCTTCAGGGGAATTTTATCAGAGAATATGTCATTTCTACAAACCACAGACAGTGCTGGAAGAGGACTTTTGTCACATTTCTGTGGCAAACATCCTTGCCCAAGGTGAAAAGAAAGATTACTGAGGTTAATCAAATGTGTAACTCAGATCTGAGTCAGATCTAAAAGCCTGAATTTCAGCATCCAGTACACTATGAAAAGGTTTGATTGTGACTGCAAAGCCCAGTTTAGAAACATAGATCTGAGACAATAATTTTCCTTAATGCTTCTGGGATCTCCAAGCAGTTCAAGATCTCAGCATTACCATCACTTTTTTGTGAGCACCAAAATAACCCCAGAAAATCCTTATCATTCCTGTAATGAGGTGGGGACCAACCTGTGGAGAAAAGGACACACTTGCTGGAGCCAGCAAAGCAGGGAAATATGCATTTTATTTCTTTTTTAGACCTCATCAGATTTGTAGGGACCCAGAGAAGGGAGGAAACTCCTGAGAAATCTGATTCAAAATGTGGCCTCTGAAAGGTCTTGTTATGATAATGGTTGTGATGCATTCCAGTTTACCATGCCACAGGCAATGAGGGAGCCCAAATCCTGACCTATTACTGTCCAAAAAGGGAAAAATAAATCAAGGAGACTTACTAAATTGAGCTTAAAGGAAGAGTAAAATGTGTGAAATGCTGGCAAACAGCAGGGTAGACACAGTATGAAAGACACAGTATGAAAAACTCAGTACATATTTACCACTGAACAAAAAGTAGGAAAAGGATATCCTCAGGCACACATAGAGACCCAGAATAATTAAATGAGAGAGTAAAGGAAGCTACTAGAAGAAAAAAAAAGTCTTTTTTTTTTTTTTCAAGTAAAATAAAGAAAATAGAAAAAAACACTGCAGGAAAATAAATTCACAAAGAGGTAAACAAAAAACTTCTTTTCAAATAGGAGACAAAAGTCAGCAATCACAGGGGTGAGGAGAGGATTTTTGCTCAACATGCTCATACATGATCAGGAAAGCTTGGTGAATAATGAAGTGATGAATATGCTGATGATTCAGAATTATTTTTCATATTTTTTTTAAAAAATGCAGCTAGCTGAACAGTTGTGGAAATATCTTACAAGTCTGACTGGGTGATAAATGGAAAATGAAATAAAAACTAAAGTGCACAGAGGAAGAGTAACCCAAGTACATAATCACAAAGATGGGCTGCAAATTAGCTACTGTCACACACACAACTTCCCATCACTGTGGATGTGCCAGCTGAATATTCAAAGTGATAAAAAGGCAAATTGCTTTCAGTTGTTATTAGGAAAGGAGTACAAAGGAGAAAACATAATTCTGGTACGGTCCCAGTCCCTTTGTGAGGTTCTGGCTGCCCTGAGTTAAAAAGGAGACAGTGTAATTAGAAAAGATGGTGAGAAAAGCCCTCTGGCTCCTGAGAGCAATGAGCTATGGAAAAGTGTTTTCAGGAGTGTAGGAACTAAGTTGTCACAGGACAGTTGGGGAAATTTTCTCCTGGATAAAAACAGGTCAACAAGCTGAGGGCAGGATGGCTTGCACTGTGGGGAGAGGTGATGAGAGGGCTCCTGCAGATCTGTGCTGGGACCTTTGCAGCTTAACAGGATCACAAACCATCTGAAAGAGGAGGTGAGAGGGCAAAATCTGCTGGTGACACAGAATTTCCGTGGCAGTAAAAATACGAGGCGGTTGCTGCGATGGATTGTGCAAAAATGGAGTGACTGCAGAGTTGGATGGCATCATGTCTGGAAA